CAGCCCGGAAGACCCACACCAGCCATCATATGCCGGCCATGAAAGCCTTCGACAATACATTCACTTTTAAAGGTCAAGTATTCTTGACTCAAGCATATGGTGGACACATGAACCCATCCTACCTTTACAATTATTTATCAGCTTACATGCTGAAATGTACTACAAAGGTTGATAGTGTGTCCTAAAAAAGGGTTCACTGAAGTGATGATGCGCTTCTGCAATTGAATGGCAAATTTTTGAAAAGGAGATACAACATCTCAAGTTGTTCGTTTATATATTGAAAAATCCGATGTATTTTTCCTTTCTGGGTTGCAAAGGTTTGAACTTGAATAATGCATCGATGGAAAGGGAGCTAGCCATCCTACTGATAGAGGAGGGGCACCTACGCACATGTGTGCACACACATCCAACCACAGGGACTTGCTCCATGTGGGTGGGCTGCCTTTGTGCCAACTCTCAGAGAAGTACAGAAGGAAGCTAAGGCTTTGATGAAGCCTTCCAATCCCAGTAATTTAGGCTAATTTCAGAGTAAAACAATCTAATCATTCTGGAAAAAGATAAATTGCTTTGCAGCAAACTCAAGGCACTTTCACAAGAATTACTGTCTAGTCTATTACCCTACTGACACCTAGTGAGCAAAGTGGAGATTTCAATCCAAATGGGAAATGTCCATCTCCAACTTTCTTTTATCATCATCTGTAAAATCTAACCAGAGCAATCTAAAAAAATATGCTTATCTAATCTGTTCATATCCATGGAATATAATTACTTTATTTTACCTCATACATTAAAATATGTAGTGATGTATGGTGTGCAAACTCCTGTTATCATCAAGATTTACAATCGAACAGAACCACACAATGGTGAATGTTCAACATGTCTTTGAAGTAAGCAATATATACTTTATGAACAGGCCACTATTTAAGTGACAGCAGGAGAACATTCATCTATAATCACGTTTGCTCTTTCAAACTGACAATTAACTTATCTTTTAATTGTGCAGTCTTAATAAATCTCTCATCCAATGCTTGTAGACTCCTTCATCAAAGAGAAATTGGTCCAAGTTTTATTTCATATTATCTGGGACCAATGCAGCAAAAAACTACTTAAACCACACAGATTCTTGGTGAAGACATTATTGAAGACAAATTCCTTTCCTTGTCAACAAATGGCTCATATGTGCTTAATTTTTCTAGAGATCATATAGCCCAGAGGTTGTCAAACTTAGAGTAAACATTTTACCAGTATCAAAAATAAATTAGTTTCAGTCTCCTGAGGATGACTAAACTGACTCAAACATTATAGCCCCAACATGGAAACAACTGAAAATTGCTTATTCTCTATCTGATAATTAAGGTGCTTTGTACATGATTTAATCTGATCATAGGGATCCTTTCCACAACCTGCTAAAAAGTGATGCTAAACCATTTTCCTGAACAAACTAAACATTTTTGGATAGATTAAAAGCCAGTACTATACTACTAAATTATTTCTCATCAACTCTTGGTAATTAGTAGTGTCAGACACTGTATAAGGCTGGAAGCGGCAAACATGGCCATCATTTTAATAGTACAGAGATCCTGGCAGGAACTTGGCTATTAAGAACACTCCCATATTCCCCCCTGAGGAGTGTATGATTAGTTCCAAAATGTTCCATTTCCTATTATAGATTATTTAGGGCTAAAAATGTGCTGGCACATTTCTACGTACTTGACAAATCACATTAGAAAATAAACCCAAGAAGATGGTTATTTATACCAGTAAATCTCTCTATTCCTCATTTGGCTAATAAATACATTTTGTCGTTGCTGCTGCTGAAGCATCTTGATATTTGGCAGGAAATTATAGGAAGAAGTGCACATATTAAATAAAATGAGCACTTTGTTATCTCTGTGTATTACAATTACACAGGACTGAAAGCTTTTAATACAGTATAGTAATGAGGGTACCAAGGTTCCATTTCCTCTGAAACCCTAAATTCCACCCATTCTTTCTGGGTGCTCTTGCACAATCAGCATCCTTCTAAGCCCACACTACAGAGGTTTCAATTGCTGGCTGGAAAAGCAATACCGTTTCATCACTGCAAAGCAGCAAGAGAAAGCCGTTCAGTTTTGAAGGGCAGTTGGGGTGGGGTGGGGTGGGGGGAATTAGGTTGCTGCTCAGCAGCAAGGCCAAATAAGAGATAGAGATGTATCAAGAGTGTGGCTCTTCAGGTAGCATAGGGGGCAAAAAGAAGAAATCAAATTCTCACTGACAGAATATACACAACTTCAGATGGGGGAAAACTTTCAGTCCGTTGCCAGTGGAAAGCTGGGCTGACTCCCACTCTTGACTTCCATATGTTTTTCCCTCAATGGCAACTCAGGAGATTTCATTGCCGAAGACTTCAAGAACCAGTGGAGTGAGTTGCATGCTATGTTCAGGCAGGAAGGAGAGGCAGCGATATTGCTTGGAATGCTCCTCATTCAGGCTTCTCAAGTCTGCAAGTTTCTGGATCATCTTGGGATAGAGCAAGCGGTTACCCGGAGGGGGGTGTCGGCAAAGAATATAGGTCTGCAGGATTTGCGAAAGATGGTCCTGGATGGACTCCACCAGAGCTGTGTCCTGAACGCCAGGGCGGTCTAGGGAACAAAACACATCACACACTCTTACATGATGGAGGTAGGCAGTAGCACCAATGACAGAGTCTGTGTGCTCCACTTATACTTAATTCCATTTCTTTTCCTCTCCTGATACTGGTTTCTATGCATTCCCTTAATTCCTCCCCCCCCCCCCCCCCCCCCACAAGCTGAACTCTTTCAAAATCACTTAAAAATAATTCTAAATTTGCCATTGCATCCACATATCCAGTCCACATCATGTGCCAGAAACAGAAAAGGGAGGACCAAAACAAGATTCAGAGATACTGGAAAACCCTAAGACAGTGAAATGCATCAGGCGCAGTGGCATAGGTTGAACACATGATTTAAAAAAGAAAATGATGTGGCAATGAAGAAAGCAATTCTTTGGAAGAAAGGCAGAATTCTTCTTTCAATATTTTAATTATGCGACAGCTTGGACCTTTTACAGATCATGTTCAATTCTGAGATAGCCTGGACCTTTTTAAGACTATGTTTTAGCATTAAAAATAAAATTGAAGTTTCCATGAGCCACAGACCAGATCTATACAGCTCAACCCTGGCTCATGTGATCACAAACCCTTGTCAACTTATTATCACCAACCCTCTGCCACTTGCTCTTAGGCTCAGAAAGACAGACAAAACCTCTTCTGGATAGAAGAGTGTACCACTGCTGTGATTTTGCTCAACCACTGGAACTTTCTACCAAAAGATCTTGAAGGGTATGCTGTTGAGATACCTTTCACTACCTGCAGTTAATGGCTGCTTTCTTGTGTCTGCTTGAAAGAAACCATCCACTTAATGATTAAGGCACTGCTTCAGCACATTTAATTTCCTCAGCATTTTGGGTCAAGCAGAGAGAATAGGCCTGGGTCAGAAATAGTTAACTCTTGTAACAGCTATGCAGGCTGATCAGGTGTTAATCATGAAAAACAGGCAAACCCAGATTGCAGCAGAGGTAAGGATGTTTTCAAACAAAGGATTTCTTATGCAATTGCTCTACCTTGTTCATGGAATTATATGTGGGGTTAATTTGTAACTTTCCCCCATTATTTTGATCCTTTTTTCTTACCACTAGAATCCATTAAAGAGAGGATAGCTACACCATACGCCTTATAGGGGACAGTGGTAGATGCTGTCATTCTAAAAGCATTGCTAAGGGTGTTCCGGATGGCAGCACAGCCCTGGCATTCATACAAAGGGAATTGTCTCTGTGTTGGTTACTTGCAATTTTGAAACAGGTCTGCGCCACTGGTACTGAACCATGCTATATTCCCAACACATAATAAATCCTCCAGCCCAGTTTTTCCCCCATGTTTTCCCATCTCTTCATTTGTAATTGTGGTACCAGCAAATGCAAACAGATGCAAGAGGGACCACAGCACAACTAATAGGACAAAACTTTCTTAAAGAGCATATGTTGACAAAAGTCACTTCCCCACAGGTAAACTATAGCATCTTCTAAAGTCATCCAACAGATATAGTTTCAGATTGACAATCAATAAGTAGGTTCCTTCAGCATTATAGTCATGACTATAATGTTTAATTCCCACACTGGCACGTAGCAAATACCTTACACATAACAAAAATTCTCAAGCTACCTCTGAACCTTTCTCTATTCAGCAAGCAAATTAATCTCCTCTACTCAACATTTTCCACTAGTAGTGTGTTTTGTAACAAATAAACTCTCAAATAAGTATTCAGCAAGCATTTTGTCCTTTCTTTTTGACAACCAACAGTCTGTATCCCTCACTAGTAATTTCAGAACCATCTGGCTATTAAATTGTTAACCAACACACTTCTTGAAAGGCCCAACTTGGGTCTCCTCACACTAGATTTCTTTGGCTGGAAAGCTGCTTGACCTAAACTGAATGCCAAACATTTCTAACAATCCAAGTTGCATAGGGATTGAATCACACTGCTGTTGATGAGAGGGAGGTGTTGGATCTTTGTGAATGAGCTCCTGCTCAATGTACTAACAATATCACAGACTTCCAGGCTTGGTCTCCGACCCAGGCTGTGCATCAAACTTCCTTTTATATGATGCTTGGGGAGTGATATTTTAACAGGTCTTCAAGTGTCTTTGTTAATATAGGAAGATTTCCTATTAACTTCATCATTTGTCATCTTTAAGCCTATTTCATTATTGCACTCTTATTTCACCCTGCTTATCACAAGGAGGTCACAGCAGTCTTTTCTTAAGTCACTCCAATTTAATATCCTTCTATTCATCCTGTGGCAGGTTGCTAGAACAGTTAATTAGATTTTGTTGAGAAACATCAGCTGAATCCCCAGACTGTATATTCAGTTTATTTGAAGTCTATCTTGGCAAGGATGTAATCTGTCAGGGGGGAGTGCAGGCTGTTATTCTACTCTTCCCTTTCTTACTTGGCAGCCACATTATTCTATTTAGATTCAATAAATTCCATATATACACCCCATATATAAGATCTCCATCTATTCACACTATGAAAAACAATGTTCAACATAATGTGATTACTTGGATAAACACGCAGATTCAAGTTATTTGGAACCTTTGGGTTACCTAGGCCCTTTTCATTTGATCTCTGAAATCACCCAATTGTTGTCATAAAAAATGATCTGGTACTTTTTGCATGGTTGGGCACTTGAAGGCTAAATATATTACTGCCTCACTTCAGAGAAGCATTAGGCACACTTTTCAGTGCCTTTACTTCATGCAGACTTAATTACAAGCAACTGCTCAAATATGTCTACCATAGTGTATGCTGTCAGAAGTCACCACCTGATCACCCAAGAGATCTCCTGATGCTCACAGTATGTGTCAACTCACTCTGTTTAGTCATCTTCTAATCTCTCAGCCTTGGGGAGGAAGAGGGAGAGAATTCCCTGCTTGGCTGGTATTTAGAGAGTATTCTGATGTCAGAGCTTTATGCCTATTTAATCTGGGAAAAGTCTCCCATTGACGTGATGCCAGGAGGTCATACGTTTTTCATTCCATGGCTGCTTTAATACCATGCAAAAGAGCTACATTTATCCTGGACCTCTTTTTCTTCACCCATCAACTTATATGTCAGGCTATTTGGTATCTGCCTCAACCAAAAGTAAGTCTTCCAAGCAAGGTTTGCTCAGTCATTTAAAACAAGATGTATTGACAAGAATGGGATAGAGATATAATAATTTCAGCAACTAAACTATTTCCAATTTAGAACCACTTCCTGTGAACCAGTGAAGAGATGGTGCTTTTCATTGATAGGAAATAGGCTAAAGGTGGCTCCCTCCAAACATAACCTGCCTGACAGGACACTGATGTAGAAGAGGGGCACAGGTTGAGGTGGGAAGCAGCAATCAATAACCATTAATTCCATCCTTGACTAGAGCCACAAGGGAATGGGGGTGAATGGCCGTGGCCAGCCACACTCCAAAGTAGGCTATGGAGTAGGCAAAATGGTGTAGGCAAAACCACACCCTGCAAAATAATACAAACAATAAAAAGTATAGTCACTTAAAATCCCATGCCAGCAGAAGCAGCAGAAACCTGTACTGCACTCAGTGGTGACAGAACTAGCAACAGGCAGATTGTAGAACCCGCTCTCTTTCTTCATTAAAATTGACTTTCTGTTCCACACAAAACTAGTGCTCTCTGGAGAGAAGGTGGTCCTGTTTTTAAACACAGGTCTAGCACTCTTCCAAAAGCGTGGTAAACTTGTGTTTAAAAACAAGCCTAGCACTCTTTCAGAAGAACTCTAAACCTGAGAATATAAGGAGGCTGCATTAGATCTAAGAAGCACATTGGAAAGTGTTCATCAGGAATTACCTAGGCAGATGTCTCAGTGAAAGCCAGATTTCTAGTCTTTCCTGCAAGTCAAGTGGCCACAGAGGGCAATGCTTGGTGACCAGAATGGAGGGGGCACACCTGGAACAGCCTGGCCAATAGGAGCTGGGCAAATCCCACCCCAACCATCATCAATGAAGTGTGCTAGATAGTGTCCACAGCAAAACGTGTGGGGAGAAGAGAGAAAACACTACTTTAAGACTGGAATAGCTAAATGTAACTTGTAGTCTCAACTAGGGGCTGGGGATGAGACAAAGGAAATGTCATGAAGACATGGCATATAAAAATGGTACTGGGACAAGTTCATGCAATGGTTAGGGAGATTTGAAGATAGTGCAGTAAATGGTCAACGAGCAAGCACGGATTGGCTGACACTTGTCTGTCTTCAGCTACTGTCCAGAAACGACAAGTACTGATATCATTATGTGCTCAGAGCATCTTGATCTGAAAAGGACTGGGAAGGACTGGTTGTCTAGAACTACTCCAGGATAGAAGATCAAATTCCTTAAAAACAATCCCTTCATCTTACATTATGGAAGGGATTGCAAAAATTCATTTTCTACAGACAGTCATTTGTTGAGTAGCTTGCTTCTTACACGGAGGGATATCCAATACATACATTTGGTCAAAAAGATGCTTGCAGTTTTTACATATGATGGTGTACACAGCTATGTGTGTTATTTCCTACCAAGACTTTCATATAGGAAAATTGTAAAGTATAATATAGTTCACTGATGGCACATGTTTTTAAGACAGCTGAAATGCAGCTTGAGATGCTAAAGTTTTTCTCACCAGGAGAAAGGATGCAGATGGCCATAAGGAGCACATGTTCTTCTTCATGCAGGTTCAGTTTCTTCAGACTAATTTGAAATTTAACGAGGGGCTCCAGTAAGTCTAGGTTGTGGCCAGCTGAAACAGAAACAAAGCAACTTTTGAGAGGCAGGCACTAGATTACTAATTACCAGCTAGCCTAAAACAGGGGAAGAAGCAAATGTAAGCATAAATCCTGGCCATGGATTTTCCTTCCAATCCACCTATTTCTAAGTGTGTCATCCGTTGAGTCATCATCCCTAAGGTGAGAGGAATTCCCAAAAGAACCAAGCAGCCAGAATAACAACATCCCTGTTTCATTAAAACTGGGCCTTTGGCAAACCTAACTTATACTGGATTAGTCCTTGAGGCGGTGCAATTATGCAGTTTATGTGATTACTTTTTCAGCTTCCTGTTCTTCCCCATCTTGGTCAGATGGCTGCAACAGAAACTCAATTCTTAAGTTTGCACACCTCATGAAACACCAGCCAGCTCAGCAAACTGGCCCATGAGACAGTCCACCTCCTCATCCCGATTTATTATTCATAGGGATAAAACAACATTTCCCCTGGAAGAACTTGGAGAAATGTTTGCATATGTAGCAGAGTGAACCTTATTTTATCTGGCTCATGGCCACCCTTCCTCTAGCCTTCCTCTTTTCTAGCTAGGTACCACCCAGAAGCTCCAATAAGAGTCTCTGTGGTGCAGCAAAAAAAGAGGAGGAGTCTGGGAGCATCTTTTCCAACTAACATATTTTATTAAAAGGCATCAACTTCCGTGAACTGCAGCTCACGCCAACAAATGTCTTTCTTCCCAATTTTTTGGTTTGAGCAAATAAGAAATCCCTTTTCCTCCCTGAGCCTCAAGACCTACTGCACGAGGTTTCGGCGACCCCATGTTGGCCTCCTTTTTAGGTAGTCCAGACAAGTAACTTCTAGCTTGGCTGCAGCCAAGGAGAGTCACCTTGCACAGGAACTCCTGCCTCGCCCTGGCTCCTCAACCTCCCCCTCCCCATTCTTTCTTGAGGAAAACATCGCCGCAAGCTTTCTTTGCAGCAGCATAGTGGTGTTTTAGTACATGGAACTGGGTGGAGACAGACAGGTTACCTAGGGAATGCTGCATTTTGCACTCCCGCGTTGGAAAGCTAGAGGGAGCGCTTGTGGGCTCATCTCTTGTGCTCCATGTTTTGGGGCCTCGTACAACACTGCCAAGGAGATTTGGGAGTGTTTCTAAGGGCCTGCAATATGAGAATGGGGATGGTGCGGAAGGGCTCTTCAGTCATAACTGCTACAATCATGAGGTTCTGCACAAAACCCTAAGCCACACAAGGGAGATGGCAAATCAGGATTAGTTGCCAAGGAATAAGTCAGAACTGAAACATAAGCTTTAATTAACAAAACATTTAAGGCTTATTCTATATTGTTTCTTGAACAGTAACTCTAATAGGAGAAATAATGATAAGTCAATAAGACACCCAACACTATAATCATATTAGAAATATAAATTAACACCAGTCTCTTTTAAAGTCTCTTTTTTAAAATATTCATATGCATTTCCCTCAGTCAGGAAACAATAAAAAAATTAGGAGACAGGTCCCTGCTTGCTTTGTTTTTTCTTCAATTCCAAAATCCCTTCAATCCCACCCCCACCTCCAAAATCACACTTGGAACCTTTTGCCTATCCTCTCTTGCCAAGAAGAAAGGCATTCATTTCATAATGGTTGCATGAAATCTAGGGACAATAACCATTTCCCATTTTTCACTAGGCTGTAAACAAGCTCTGAATTTTTAAACAAATAATAAACGCAACTCTTGTTCTCAGATGTACCACTGTCATTAATTCTTTTTAATATTACCAGCTGTAAACCAATTCATAAAGTATTGCGTGCCACTTTGGTTTGCTTCAACCTTATGCAGGTTTGAGACACATCTTCTATACATCTTAAGCGATCTCTAAAAGTATTGAAGGAAAATGGAGCTCCATGAGGTGGCTGCTCCAAGGCTATCTTCTGCTTCACCATACCTTGAGTGACATCACTGATTTTGTATTTGAAGTCATTACTGCCACAAGTCCAGGACATATCCTCCAATGAAAATGACTGATTGGAACGGAGCATTATTACTTCAATGGCACTGGATTTCAGGAGAGCAATCTGGTCCTCCGCCGTTAGATTTCTGTATTGGAAGAAGAGAGAATATGAAACTCAGACTTCAAACAATCCATCATCATCACATTCTCTAAGGTCAGGATTAGAAATGATTATCATTTATACCCCACCGTGCTACTATTTCTCTTAGTATAAACTGATCTTATACAACTGCCAGGATGACAGTCCCCAAGCATAAGTTCAGTTAACTAGTTAACTGAGTTAAGTTGATTGCAGGTATTTGTGCTTACAGCTCACTGTAGCCTCAAATGGTAGCTTATCTGTGTGAATGAGGGACCACAGATCAGATATTACTGACAGAACTTGAACGTCACTTAATATCAATATTTTAGCAACACAGTCCACACACTGAATTAAAAGCCAGTTACAACCGGGCTCTGCAATGCTGTGGATTTGATTAAAGAAAGTTTCTTTGGAGCAGGCAAGAGCACTGAGTGTTTTCCTGGAATCACGTGATACAAACCTCACATAACAACATGAATCACAAAAACCTCTGGAAAAGGACACAAGGTTTCAGGCAGAGAGAAGATTTTACAGCAGGTAGAGCTCCACAAAGTAGAGATTCAGCTTTCCAGCCAACAACATTACTCAGTTCACAAAAGCAGCAAACTTTTGGGAAACTTCTGGCCACAGTGGTTCTGTGCAGGCACGTATGTGCATGCACACACACACACACACGCTTCCCAGTCTTCCCGCTCTTATTTAAGAGGGAATCTGAGATGCCTTCTTCAAGTTCTCTACCAGTGCCAAGGTGGCATGCGTGCCCTTGCCTACAGCAATGAGTTGAGAAAACTGCAGTCGCCTGCCAAGGAAACAGCTGTTAATGGATTGCAGGGCTTAAAAAAGGTAGAATATGTTCTGAAGGTAGGACTTCAGTTCGATAAACCTGAGAAACATTGCGTGACTGAGGAATGATTGTATTTATTTATACTGCTTGTTGTGTCAAGATTTTATTTGGCTTTTAAAGCGACCCATTTTTATCTTACTGAGCCTTTGCTGTGCTAGCAGATTCTGAAGTCTCCGTGAGAGATCTGTGGTGTTGTGCATTCATCTGTTTATTTAAGCATGACAAATCAGACACAGATACACATCTATAAGGAAAAGGCAGGCAAGTGTTCTGGAGCTAAATCTAAATCTCCCTACCTGAACCCTGGAATCATTTTAGCAAATCCAATGACTTTCTGGATGCTGTAGCTAACAAGATCAGCAAGGTGAGGCAACATGGAGAGGTGGGAGAAGTCAATGGACATGGATGCGCTGTCATCGCTCAACTCCAGACTGGAAAGCATCGTTGGCTCTGGTGGACAGGGAGAGGAAGACACAGCTTAGACCCTTATGTCAGACCAGCAGGCAAGGTGATTTTAGCACTCATTGCAGCATGACAGGTTAAATGTTCTAGAATTTACATAGCGTTAGTCGGCCTATTTACGATTACTAATTATTATTTTACTTTCTACTGGGTATTGATTTGCGTTGAGAAAGTCATGATGTGAGGATGATGTTGAGGAGCCATTTCAATGGCCAGGCCCTTGCTGTCCCTAGACAGGCTGAAAGCCACTGCTGGTACTACTCCAACTTGCATGAACAAACCAAAAGAATCCAAACTGGGTGATTTCATGAGGGAGACCTACATTTTAAGACTGAATTTCCCGAGGGGTCCAATTCTTGGATTCTATCCACATGATCAAAAACATGCTCCAGTTTTCCACTTTAACCCACCGCTCTGTTCTTTCCTAGCCCCACTTAGAATGGTTCTTTTAGACAATGGTCATTGCAGCATAGCATAAAAAGTTACACAACTGCATTACTAAAAGTACAATTCTTGGTGCAAAAACAAGCTCAAATCCCAAACACAGAATCAAGGCACGTCCACATTGAGCTCTGGTGCTGCTCCTGCAATGATGCCCCATGCTATTTTTCCCAATGTTCAGCCAAGCTGACTTTTTTCTGGCTCAGTTTCCTAAATATTCAAATTTATCTATTTATCTCCAGTATTTACATCCCACTCCAATCCTGATGGACTCCGGCTGGGTAACATTAAGATAAAGCATTCTGTACCAAACTCCAGGTAAATAAAATAAAGACACACAAAGTGCCTAGGAAGGGCCAAAAGCAAAAGAAAATGTTTACTCTGAGATTTTAGCTATTTCAACTTCATAGGGTTGTGATAGATGAGTGTCGTTCTTCCACTGGCAGAAATTCCCATCAATCTCCACTTCCCAGCTCCATGTGCCTCTCTCTCTCACTCAGGCATTGTAGTACATCAAAGCCTTCACATAAGACTGTGGTGCTCTTCCAACCCAACTAGCTGTTTTTTCTCCTCCATTGCAAGCAAACACAACAAACAAGGAAAAGTCTCTTTGCTGATACTCAGTTTCTACTCTCATCTATTGTTCAGGTAGTTGAAGGGCAAGCCAGCTCTTCGTTCACACAAAAACTGTGACTGGACCAATCACAGGCTTTGCAGGAACAGCTTTGAAGATTATGGAGATGGGATGCTGGCCATGTGGAAGTATCCTCACAATGCATCTTAATATGATACCAGAGGCAGCATTTATCATGGCCCCCCTAGTCACAGAACAACTTCTAAGTTTCTCTACAGTTTCTTTTGTTTTTTCACAAGACCAGTAAAGGAGAAAAATCAGAGGAGTTACACAAAGCGTTTTGGCATTAAGAACTCTGAATGGAAGTGCTCTCTAAAATTCATAGGACTGTGTCAGGACTTCTGAGAGGGAGAGAGGGAGGCCTTTGTGAGGGAATCTGTGGAGAATGCTAATCAAATAGGTATTTATTTGCATTCCATCTTCCAGGAATGAATTACATAGAAATATTCTAAACAGATATAACGGGGCTACTGTGAATGTGGAGTAACCATGAAGTAAGAAAAAAGATGTGTTTAATTTGGTGATTAGTGGTGACCCCAAAGTACTAAACAGACTGGCCCCTTCTCCCCATACGATGCAGTTCAACCTACCCTGTGACATGCTGCCATACTGTACATTAACATCAGATTAATTCTGTATAAAGGACTGTTGTGTGGAACTGATAATATTGTAACATCACAACCCTGGAAAAGTGATATTATAGCAGGATGCAGTCCCCACTTATGGGGACCATATTTTCAGTGGCAATTTTGCATCTCTCAGAAAACAGTCCTGTCTTTCTTCAGAACAGTGGGTATAAAACAGATTAAGAAAGCCAAAACCAACCATGAACCATTGCACTTAAGCAAATGCCAGACAGGATACGGGCTGCTTAGCTGTAAGTTAAGAGTGGTTGAAAAAGTTCTACAAAGACCACATCACTACAAAAAGGCAATTGTGGGATTTGCCAAGTTAGAAGAAACATAGTGGCTGTTACAATTCTTGCAGTTTACTATGAATATAAATATGACTAGCACCCTGGATGTTACCTGAAGAGAAGCTGGAAGCATCTGAAGAGTCATCTGAGAAGGAAAAACCTGGTGTCATGATAGAAGAAGATCTACTTGTACGTCCTTTGTCTGACTCTTGTCTTACGGGAGGCTGAAATGGAAAGGGTACCGTTTGGTAGTAGCTCACTACCTTCTTTATACCTTCATCCTGATTCTACTTACTAGAAAGTTAGTTCATCAATGGAGATAGTTTGCTGTAAGGACAAGAGTGGTCTGCAGCTTTTACTCTCTCTACCTCTGTTTTTCCAGTCTACTGAATACTGTCCAACTTCATGGACCCATTTCTTAGAACAAACTCCCAACAGAAGACACTTCTGCTCTGATATCCCATGCTTTTGCCTTAACCGTATTGATTACTTAATATTTTAACAAGGCAGCATATTCTGAACCAAATAACCACTGCAACTGCTATGCATTTGCATATTAACCTTGAAAAAAATGTATGTTACTGCCTCTTGGTAGCAGGTAAGATGTATTTGCTTGTATCTGTTCAATTTTCAGGCTGAGAAAGGAGAAACAGAAGGTGTTGGAGGCTACATCACCCTATATTGGACATACTGGTTTGGCTCAGAAAATAAAAACTAGCAGAGAGAAGCAAGGGGGAGTTAGAGTCTGTCGAGAAGTACCACAAAAACAAGAGTAACTAACCCCAGGTTTTCAAAACCATGAGTCAGCCAGAGTTAGTTCTCTTTCTTCTACTTCTGCTATCTGCCTCAGCCGTTGTCCTGACGCCTCATGTGCATCACTCAACCCCAAAGCTGTTTTGCTCTTGTGATGAGGCAGGAAACACTTGTGGTTGCTTCAGCCACAAGTACCTTCTCCTTCCTCTTTTTTCCCCCCAGAACTGATAAACATCATTGTTCAAAGATTGTGTGTGGCTAAGAAAGGCAGGTTCAGCAGGTAGAATAATGGGGCCCACCAAGAGGCCTGGCATTCGGTTCTTCATTCTGCTTAAGGGAACGTTCCCCTATTTTGTTCCACCAAGTACATTCCTAAGGACAGCTCGTGATGAAGCCATTTGGGCAGCCCACATAATACAGCTATCACCAACTAAAGTCTAGTCACAAATACAGCTGGTAATTTCTCTAAGCAGTACAGCTGCAAATCCGACCGAGATGTATTTCATGCTAACCCAGCATGAAAATAATTTCCAGTTGGAATAATCCTAAAACCAGTGACTTGGCTAAAGAATTTCAATCTGGGACACAGATCCAGTTTAAAAAATACACTGAATGGTTCTTTCATAATGAATTGCAGATTTGTTTAATAACTTGAATCTGGAAGCAACGTTACGTTGGTTAAGTGTGAAGTGGGCAAGAGTTTGAATCACTGATTCAGAAAAGTTATAAGGTTGAAAAATATTCACTTGTTCACCAGCAGAGGTCCTACTATTCACAACTATAGTAAAGTGAAAAAACAAGCAACCCCTATAGCTTACCCGGAATTGAGTGAAATCTGAATAAGTGGGATCGTAAGTTTTGCGGTGGGCTTCAAGAAGCATTTCAATGACTTTTTGTTGTTCTTCCAGCAATTTGGGCTTTAGGCTTTCCTTAAGAGCTTCCTCCTCCTTCCTTTTCATTATCATCTCTCTTTTCCTCTGAACCTCTTCATCGGTCAGAATAACTGTAGAGGCAGGGTAGTAAGCACATTACAGTATAAATAAGATTAAACAGTTAATGGATTTAGCTGAAGAATGAAAGAAGATGACAACGCATGTTCCCTAAGGGTTCTTGTTTATTCGGACAAGATTGATTCAATAGCTAACAAATGTCTGAAGACAGAGCAACACTCAACATGGAGAGGACATCCCAGCTGGATTACAGTCCAGCTGGTGAACTTCAAAAACTAGTTTTAAAGCTGTCTTTAAAAAACTCTGCCTGGCTCACAGTGACTTTCTTCAAACAAGACGTCTGCATACTTTTTGAGGACGTGAAGCCTGATGTACTTTTTACAAGCAGACCTCATATACATGAATAAATCTTATTGCTATTAAGAAACCACACAGCCAATAGTTTTTCTTTTTATGACTGTGCACTACAGTCATTTTTGGAACTGGAGGATTAGTACAACTCCATCCTCCTCAACAGCAACTTGCATGGCACTGGGAATGCTGCCTGCATGCATTCTGCGACATCAATCCTCCACAAGCTACCTGTGCAACATCTCAACAAAGGAAAAGGCTGCTTTTGTAGACTATGGCCCTTCCCCTATTCACAATTAACCATGGCACAAATAGCCTCTGGCAACATGCTCCCACGACATTCCCTACATCTTGTCCCCAGAGACAAGCTTAAATTGCCCAATGTTAAAATTGTATTTTCTTTCTTACTTTGAGTCCATCCAAGGGCAGCCTCAAGGTATGTAAAATCTCTTAGACCTTGTCACCCATGACCTTGGAGGGAACTCAGGTGAGTAGCCGTGACTGGGAACAAAGGCAATAGAGGCTGACAATGAGGGTAACAGATTTCATCCTGGTGTACAGTTATCTGTCAACTCAAAGAATTGTGGAGAGCAGATCAACTCAGCAGTGGGAAAATGCTTTTACTGCCCAAATATCTTACTGAACATTCAGAAATTACAGTCTGCAAGCAACTGAATATTTTGACAAGTATTCAAAATTCACTACCATTCTCAAAATGTGGCAGTGCTGTAGACACACTGCTGGCAGAACTGTTATCGCTTTTGTATGAAGTCACAGATGTATTGCACTGACAAGCTACCAAACGTATATGTTTGGCAAATACAGACAAAAGCTGACTTCAGGAAATGAAAGACAGAAACCAAGTTCCTCTAAACATGATTAACATAGAGAAACATGTATTCCCATAGTGTCCAAAGTATTCACATTCCTTTTCTACAAAATTTCACAATTAAATCCCCAACACTGATTTATTCATTTATCAGTACTTATAACCGATCCCAATCCCAAAGACTCTGGGCAGCATAGTCAAACAAAGCAAAATCATCAACATTATCATCTAAACGTGTATCCAAAATGAAAGATAACAGAAAAAGAAGGGGAAAAAAGCAAGGATAAAATCCAAAATAAACCCAATATAGTCACCCACAATCAGTCAGCTGGGATGAAAAGCCCATTGAAATAAAATAGGTTTTACAGAAGTCCAACAAAGTAAGTCTGGGCAGCATAGTCAAACAAAGCAAAATCATCAACATTATCATCTAAACGTGTATCCAAAATGAAAGATAACAGAAAAAGAAGGGGAAAAAAGCAAGGATAAAATCCAAAATAAACCCAAGATAGTCACCCACAATCAGTCAGCTGGGATTAAAAGCCCATTGAAATAAAATAGCTTTTACAGAAGTCCAACAAAGTAAGGCTTCAGTAAATATATGGTAGAAGAGAAATTGCTCACTCCTTGGAATATAATTTCATGGACTGTAGAAATCAGCCTCTATATGAATACTGGCTTGTACATAGCAATGAGCAGGGCCCCGTTTGCTCCCCCCCCCCCGCATGTATTTCTAGAGTGAACCAACACAAATCGTTCAAAATACAAATTCTATATGACTTCTGGAAAATCATCTGGATTTTAATCCATCAGGCTTTGGGGTATTTTAATTAACTTCAGATGCAGTGTAATGGAAATCCTCTGTGGTCAGAATAGCACATGGGCATTACTTCAAAAAATATCTTGTATATACTGAATGATGGAGATGAGTTACATTCCAAAGATGGTTGGGGGCAAAATGCAGCATGTCAACCCCATATGGAAAATATTAGATTTGGAAGCTGAGAAATGGGGGTCCCATCTCAACTGAGCTATTGGTAGCTTTGAGCAGTTTCACTGCCTGGATTTTTTTTTTTTTTAAAAGACCCATGACACATAAGGAATAATGAGAAAGATTATAAAGCATCCTGAATGCTAAAGGCGGTACAAAGCCACCCAGCCCCCTGCAATATAGGATGTATAGGCAAAGCAGAGCAACCACCGGGCTGCAATGCAAGTCAAACCATTGCCATGCAACAGCTGCAAGCCTTATTTTGGCAGGCAGGATGAGATGTTGAGAAAGATTTCTACTATTGTGATGAGGAGCAGGGGGCTGTCTACAACTTCTCTCTTCTTGTGAGGACCTTAATCCTGGAAGAATTCTTGCAACTAAGTCTCTAGTTTGCTTCTTTTAAGTATATGGCATACTATAAAGCAGCAGTTCTCAAACATTTTGGTCTCAGGATCCCTTTACATTCTTAAAAATGATGGAGGGCCCCAAAGAGCTTTGGTTTATGTGGGTTATCTCTACCAATGTGTACCACATTAGAGATGAAAACTGAGAAATTTTAAAACATTTGACTTTGAGGACCTCCTGAAAAGGTCTCGAGGACCCCCAAGGGTCCCCAGGCAACACTTGGAGAACCACTGCTATAAAGGATGGCACAGTGTCCCAAATGACGGAATATTTATTATTTATTTACTTGCTTATTTAATTAGCCTTTTATGGAGCTTCGGTCCCAATGTTCTAAACAGCATAAAAGCTCAAGCAAGCAATAAATAATTTTTGACATCGTGAGCATTCATGGTTGTACCCTCCATCATCAAGGGCAGTTGCTGAGGTGTGAATTAGAGAGGGCAATTATTCTTGTGTTCCTCCTGGTTGGCCTCTGTGGGAAAAGAACCCTGAACCAGAAGGACTTTTGGTTTGATCTAACCGGCCCCATGGGACATTCTTATTTCTGAACCTACTGCTTCAGATTCCTTTCAATATGACTACCAGTATATTTTAAACTAACATGAGCTTTTTCTTAGAACAGCTGTAACTAGATGTTTGAAATGTGGAAACTGAGGTGATAGATGAAGGAGGGTAGGGCATTTGAAGCCATTAGATTTGGGCTGCAGAGGTCACCAGCGCTACTCTTTATCCTGTCCCATCTTCTACCCTTCCCTGCTGTCCTCCAGAATCAGCACAGGTCCATAGAACACAGAACAGGGAAACTGCTGTGTTGGAAAAAGACCGGTACTCTTTCTTGTGTAAAATGTATTTCAATGCCATCCTTATCACATCTTATCTTCTCTCTTACAGTTTATGGGACCATCAAAAGAAATCCAGTAAGTTCTGGATCACAGATCCGTATCTCTTGTACACTTAGGGTAGTAATATGTATTCAAGGGAAAGGGCACTGGGTGAAAGGGCAGAAGTCTAGCTCCTTGATTTAGAATTTATTTCATATCACAGGGAACTAAAAGACCAACCCACACTCTAGTCAACAGGCTGTTTACTAAGAGGCTTCTCAGAGGCTTTTTCTCTGAATCAGACTATATTATTTACAGGAAACTTGCACAATACTGTCGTGTGCATATAGCATTTCTAAAGCAAGTGAATCTGAAGCACTAGGTGCCTGAGAAATCAATGCCACATCCGGATGGCTATTACCTACTGTCACAATTTTTTTCCCATTAAACTCAAATATTTATCTGTACATCTCCTAAAATCTGTCACACAGTCAAACCACTTTGATTTTAAAGACATAGTAACTATGGGATGGAAAACTTTAAAAGAAAGAAAAAAAATCTGCCCACTATATGTAGACTTTATGAGAAAAAAGTTCATTTTAGCTATTAAAAACATGCTTTTAGCTTAATTTGTTTGTTTCATCCATAAGACCAGATTTTGAAGTTGGCTGCACATGTTTTTTTGTACCTGCTTCCCCAAAACTCATAAGAATGCCAACCTATTTCCTAGTCCCCTTTTATTTTTTCCCAAGAGCAAATCCAGGTTTTACATACAGTTTTGTTCAGAGACTACAGCTAGCATCTGGATTAAGTTAATGTGGTTGCCTTCTAGCAGTGTCTTGGAAGAGCCCCTCTTAGCATTTTCTTGCCTTCCTTGGAACAGCTATTATCTCAGTAAGACGAGCAAATTATGCTACTACAAGTTCAGCTTTAGACAAATACAATCAGATCATGTGGATGGACTATATGAGGGAAAAAAAACAGCTAACGTTTACTTTTTCTAATTCAAGCTGGTCTATTTATTTACTTCTTGATTGCATTTCTATGTGCCAGTTGAAAAGGATATTGTCTGAGGACTAACAAACATCAATTCACCTTCTATCCAGAGGAGAAAATATTATTCTGGATCCTGCCCCCTCACCACTGTCTACATGTATTTGTCTGGCTTGCAGGGACTGCTATGGGGTTGGTTGCAAAGGGAGATCAGTTTGGGACACTATGAATCAATGCATTAGGAAGCCTCCACAGCTTTCTCTTCCCCTTGGCATCAGTTCGGTACTGCACAGCAAGCCCTATGAACTTCAGCATCCCAGCAAAAACTGGAGGAGTAACAAGACGGCAACATTTCTTCCGCAGATTTTTTTTGCCTAGGCAGCCTTATGTGACTTGGTATCAGGGAACGGGGAAATGGGGCACACAGCCCCTACCCTGGGAAAAACAGATGCCCACCAACACAGATCAGCTCTCTCGCTGTGGCTTAGTAGTAGTGTTAAGAAATGCTTCACTTTGCATCAGTGCTTGTTTATACCCAGTGTTTCTCGACTGATAGGAGGGGTGGGGAAGAAATCACTATCTGGAAGTGCTCCTTATGACTAAAATCCTCAAACCATTGAGTAAATTAGGCAGCAAACAAGAGAACTATTTTTAGCCACCATC